GAACACTATGGCGCCTACGTTAATTAAAAAAAAGGCTATACACTAAAGACACGATGGACAAGAATAAGCATTGACTATATCGAAACAGGCGCTTCTCTGGCACCTCTGCAGGGATCCGTTTGGCGCCCTGGGCTCTCCTGTGAGCGCAATTGCACCTACGTTCATTCTAAACAGCGCTGTAGACAATGGATAAAATGGGCCGTTACAGTCGCTCACTAAATTGAATCAGGCGTGTCAGCCGGCGCCCTGGTAGGGTGCAATCTGGCTGCAAACAAAAATTCAGTTTCGGACCCCAAAGGCTCATGTGCGCTGCTGAGGGTCATGTAATAGGTTTTTTTTAATAATCAGGAAAATTAACCAAGGTTACATTATTAACACTGGGTTGTTTCGTAAAAAATCCAAACAATTCCAAAACCTACAGTTCTCAAAATAATGAAACTATTTCCGTAAAAAATTAAGTTTAGAAGGGCAAATCAAATAAAAAATAAAAGTCATACTTCTAAAAATAACTTTGTTACGCGAGGAAATCCTTCTGTACAGTTTCGTCACTTTGCGATTGATGCAATTAGCATCTATTTTTAAACGATCCAATCATAAATTGATATCGAGCTTCTAATAATACACCATTAGTAACGCTAAAAAATTGCATCAGCCATACTGATGTTTATAACAAGTCAAATTTTCTTTTTTTCTACGTGTTAAAAATCCTGTTGATTTGTGTCACTTAATCGACGCAATCTGCTTCATTGTTTTTCGGATGCTATTTGGCGCTCTGTGTTATTCTGTGAGCACTATGGTGCCTATGTTAGTTGTAGCCAGGGGCCGTATGCGACGCCTCTGTGTAATCAGGGGCTCCCGAGAGCACCACTCTACGTCCCTCACACATGGGCGGTCACCGAAGTGTGTTCTATCTTATTATTTTGGTGAGTGATTGACGTAAGGTTTTCATGCGGTAGTGTTGGTAGTGTAGGTAAACCCGTGTCCATATATTTATGATCCAAGCGTAGGCATTGTTTACATTTAAATAACTATGTTTTAGAAAACAAGGTTACGCATCTTAGACGTCTTAGAACATAGGATTGGTAACGCATGGATGAAACCCTTCTTATATATTTAGTCGGACTTACTTGTATTCACACAGCAACGCGCGGGGACGGGTATGCTAGTATATATATATATAAATATATATATAAAGTATATACTTAGCTTTATGATACCTATCAAAGAAGTTGAAAGGCCTGCTTGAGATCTGGAGGTAAAATTAATTATAGGATAGTAATTTGCTAAAGGTTATGAAATAATTAGGTAATGTTTGCAGTATGTTATGAAGTAATTAGGCAATGTTTGCAGTATGTTATGAAGTAATTAGGCAATGTTTGCAGTATGTTATGAAGTAATTAGGCAATGTTTGCAGTATGTTATGAAGTAATTAGGCAATGTTTGCAGTATGTTATGAAGTAATTAGGTAATGTTTGCAGTATGTTATGAAGTAATTAGATAATGTTTGCAGTGTGTTATGAAGTAATTAGGTAATGTTTGCAGTATGTTATGAAGTAATTAGGTAATGCATGCAGTATGTTATGAAGTAATTAACACCATATGTTTTATTTATAAAACTCTTTGTATCCGCATGCAAAAAAATTTGAACTGCATATAACCCTACTTCACGGAAACACAAGGCAATGAGGACATTTTTCACTCTTTGTTATTAATTGTTATACAGTCATTTTACATGTTACTCTACAAAACTGTAATCTTATACCAGTCTAACGTTATCCCACACCAATGGTATCCTACACCATTTATCCTACGCCAGTGATATCCTACACTAGTGGTTAACAACAACATTAGTATCCTACACAATTGTTATCCTACACAATTGGTATCCTACACCACTAGTATCCTACACCACTAGTATCCTACACCACTACTATCCTACACAACTAGTATCCTACACCACTACTATCCTACACAACTAGTATCCTAAACCACTAGTATCTTATACCTCTAGTATTCTACACCACTAGTATTCTACACCACTAGTATCCTACACCACTACTATCCTACACCACTAGTATCCTACACCACTACTATCCTACACCACTAGTATCGCATAAGTATGTCATGTGGTTTTTAGAAAAAATTATTCATTTAAATTTTTTTTTATCTGCTAATTTGTGTAAACAAAAAAACTATGACGTAGGGCTGTCAGAAATCGACCACGGAGTTCCTGTACAGCCAATCTACGTTTGTCTTACGAAAATGAAACTGCAGGTTATAACTTAGACTTGATCAAAATAAATATAAAAAAATGTAGCCTTAAACTCCAAAAATATTTTCAAGTTATTTTTTTTTATTGAAATATTAAAAACAACAACACCCACACGATTTGTATCCATGCGAACGATAATGCAGAAAGAATTTTTTTCAACTCTGTAATGTCCGTTTATTTTATCGCACCTAAAAAGCTCATGTTTCATGTCTGTATACACGAAACATTGTAGAATACACCACATTGTATAAATCCGTGTTTTGTGCACACGGTTTAAATTTTTAAATCCTAGAACCAAACAAAATTATCATTTATTAATATTATACAACTCTATTGTAAGTTAGCCTTGTGTTTAATTTTATGTCATAATAATGCTAATTAACGGTTACTACACATGACAAATAGATTCGTAATACACTTAAGTACTAAGGGCTATAGTAAAAAATTCAGACACATTTTCTGAATTGTTCAAGCCATTATTTTGATCTAGGAATCTGGTATAAACGAAGTCACAGAAAACTGTGTTGTGCTGGAAAAAGTTTCATGTGATTTTTTTCCGCTTAATTTTAAAATCTATATTATACACAGGAGCAAATATCTTGACTTTAGACAATTTTATTGAAGTGTGGCGAGCAGCACATATGCTACAGGTTAAAGTTATGGTTAATGTTTGTGAGGAGTTTGCTATCAGATCATGTTCATTGGACACCTGGGAAAACATTTATCAACAAGCAAAACGTTTGGGCTCAGAAAATGTTCTCGATAAGCTCCACACATTCATGTTGAAAATGTTTGAAGTAATAAGACATTCAACAACATTTCTACGGCTATCATTTCAAGGAAGTTTAGGATGTGATTAAAAGCCAAGATCTTGTCAGCAATGAAGATTTAGTTTGAAGTTCAGTGATTTGGTGGGTTAAATGTGTTCTTCGGAGACCAGAATATTATTGTTAATGATAACCATTTAATTAAAACTGAATGTACAAAATTACACAAAGTAGATACTGCCAAGTCAATGGCTTCTGAAGAAATGGTGTAGTCGTCTAGTAAAGTTAAAATAATAGAACTGATAATGCAAGCCAAGACATGTATACTAAATCCTGCTTTTTTTTTGTTCCAAAGACGAAATGGGAAAGTTATGAAACAATTACCGCTGACAAAGAAAAGCAGTTTAATATTAAGAAATGTGAATATTTGGAAGATAACTCAATTTAAATTAAATCACATTTCTTGCAAAATAATGATTCAAGAATAAAATTATGAAGTGTTAGTATCCTCATAAAGATAAATAAACTAGGATTAGACGTTTCGACCCTAGGTCTTCGTTAGGAGACAAGAACTTTGTTAGACACAATGAACAAATAGTCATAAAACATGAGGACTCGTCATAGAGTTTACTGTGTTTTGTCTAAACGCCTCGACATTAAAGGGCCAGTCGCAGAGTAGTTGATGCTTAGACAATATACGGGGGGTGACTGGAGGGCGTGGTGTTCGGTGGAAATCAGATGATGCTACTGCCTGCACAAACATCAAAATGGGATTCTTAACCACGTCATGCACACCAGTTATCCAACACACAGTTATCCAACACCACAGTTATCCAAAACTACAGTTATCCAACACCACATTTATCCAACACCACAGTTATCCAACACCACAGTTATGCAACACCAGTTATCTTACACCACAGTTACCCAACACCACAGTTATCCAACACCACAGTTATCCAACACCACAGTTATCCAACACCACAGTTATCCAACACCACAGTTATCCAACACCACAGTTATCCAAAACTACAGTTATCCAACACCACATTTATCCAACACCACAGTTATCCAACAATACAGTTATCCAACATTACATTTAGCCAACACCACATTTATCTCACACCACAGTTACCCAACACTACAGTTATCCAACACCACAGTTATGCAACATCAAAGTTATCCAACACCACAGTTATCCAACACCACAGTTATCCAACACCACAGTTATCCAACACCACAGTTATCCAAAACTACAGTTATCCAACACCACATTTATCCAACACCACATTTATCCAACACCACAGTTATCCAACACCACAGTTATGCAACACCAGTTATCTTACACCACAGTTACCCAACACCACAGTTATCCAACACCACAGTTATCCAACACCACAGTTATCCAACACCACAGTTATCCAACACCACAGTTATCCAACACCACAGTTATCCAAAACTACAGTTATCCAACACCACATTTATCCAACACCACAGTTATCCAACAATACAGTTATCCAACATTACATTTAGCCAACACCACATTTATCTCACACCACAGTTACCCAACACTACAGTTATCCAACACCACAGTTATGCAACATCAAAGTTATCCAACACCACAGTTATCCAAAACCACAGTTATCCAACACCACAGTTATGCAACACCAAAGTTATCTAACACCATAGTTATCCACACCACAGGTATCGTTCACCACAGTTACCATACACTACTTGACTTGTATCCTACGTCACTGTTGCCATACACTACTTTTATCCTATATCAATGCTATCTTCACCACAGTTATTCTAAAAAACTGTTATACTACATCAATGTTATTTTAAAATTTTAATTTGCGCACTGAATTTTAGTTTCTTGAATTTTTGGTCGCACCAACGAAGCACTATTTATTGACGTTAGCAGAAACCTTAAATGTCAACATCTGAACTTTGTAAACACAATGGGGAAACCAGATTTTTGTACTCAGATTGTCCAAAGTCTGGAGAATGTGTGGGCTGAAAACATTTTATTTGACTTTGCAGTGAGAGTTCATGATGAAATCATCCAATGTCATCGTCTCATCCTAGCGGCATGTTCAGATTTTTTTAAGGCGCTGTTCAGGTCTGGTATGAAGGAGGCAACTGAAAACTGTGTTGAGATAAAAAATGTTTCATGTGAAGTTTTCCGCTTAATATTAAAATCTATATACACAGGAACAAGTCTGTTGACTTTAGACAATTTTATTGACGTTTGGCACGCAGCACATATGCTACAAGTAAAAGTTATGATCAATGTTTGTGAGGAATTTGCTATCACATCATGTTCATTGGACACATGGGAAAATATTTATCTCCATGCAAAGCTTTTGTGTTCAGACCGTGTACTTGACAACCTTAACAGATTTATGACAAGAAACTTTGAACATATTATATATTCATCGACGTTCCTTCAGATGTCCTTTCTGGAAATTAAAAATGTGATAAAAGTCCAATATCTTGAAGTCGGCAAAGAAGATGTTGTTCTTGAATCTGTTATGAAATGGGTCGAATGGGATACGGAAAAGCATACATTTTCAGTAGGCAGTAAGGATTTGATGACTGGACTTGCTTTACCAACTGAAGATAAAAAAACATTTAAAGAACGAGAGTCGTGTCGAAAAGACAAACTTACGGAACTATTAATGCAAGTTAGAACATGTCTCGTAAGTTCTGCTGTTTTATCAAGAATTCTAAAACTAAATTATGTTTTAGAAAACAAAGATTCAAGACAAATAATGATCGATGCATTGTCATACAAAGCCCAGGATTTCAAACATGGTCAGTGGCCATCAGCGGCTATACACAGATCTGGTAGCAAGTACATAAATGCTGGAATATATGGTAGAAGAGATGGATCTTATGGAGTAATCTCTGCATACTTAGGAAGAAAATTTAAAATTATAAAATGCGAATATTTAGAAGAGACTATTCAGCTGGTCAATTTCGACGGTGAATTATTTGCAACAGGAAAACAAAGCAACCAACCAAACGGACCTTGTCGAATGTTTGTTTACTGTCACCATGATTGGAAGGAAATTATGAAAATGCCAAGTCTCAATTTGTTATTAGTGTCACATGGAGAATTTATTTACATCATCAACAAAGATGATCAATTTATTTATAACATTAATCCAAAAGGGAGATACCCTCATTTTAAAAAAATCAAGAAATTACCAGCAAATGTTGAAGTAAAACATGCAATGACTCTGGAAAACTTCCTTGTATTATTTAGCTCTGAATCGCTTAACGGTATAGAAAAGACAGCGGTTCATACATTTGGTATTTTGTCCAACGTTTGGACCAGATTAGACAATCTTGATGGACCAGCTGAACAGCTGATTAGTTTCAGAAACGACAAACACAACTACATTCTACAGACCAATGGGAGTTTGTGTCTGGTGCTTTGTTCATCTGAAACTGAAAACATCGAATTTAAATTTCTTACCAAACTTTGGAACTTTACAAAACAACTGTATGGTGCTTTAACGGTTCAAAGTCAGCTGATAATTTTTGGAAACGACCCTGGCAATGACCCACCTAACCAGAAAAGAATTAGCGAGCTGCCAGAGCACTTTACGAGAATATCCCACTGGGGAAACGACACTTGCTGTTCCAATTTTGTTCCCATCACCATAATGAATAGTGCTGTAAATTTTGATAGAATGCTGTAGTGTGTAATGTACGGAATCCGCTAGGCCTGACAATCTCACTTATTTCTTAGTGAAATGACAAGATTATATTTTGAGTTTAAACCAACTTGCTATACACAACTCCATGTTATTAATATATTGCTTTTTATAACATGCACAACACACAAACAAACATGCACACACACATACACATGAATACACACAAATGCACACAACCACACACATAGTCTAACACACGTATATTTATACATAGCTGTTACAAATATCTTTTTGAATCGCCTACTCGTAATCGGTCAAAACAAACAATAAAATAAATAAGGTTACATTTATGATCCTGTATTTTTCTGTGATGAATTCAACAATATTTTTGAGTAATCACTGACACGGCGTTTATGTGTGTGTGTGTGTGTTTATGTGTGTGTTTGTGTATAAAAGGGGATTGGGAAGCATTGTTTGGGTACGGCTATAAATCAGGTAAACTGTTAATCTCATAATTTCTTATCTAGAGAACCTTAGACACAAGCGTAGTGCCTTTTGTGATATTTGACTACATGCTTTGAACACATGTACTTTGTATCTGACTAAATATAGCCTTCTTGTTAAATACTTGTTAAAATGTTTCTAGTATTTTGCAACATATACTTGTATAAATACATTTGATTCTGTTTAAAGATTAAAGGTAATTTTAAAAAAAAACTATTTTTTAAAATGATTTTTACAATTAGTCGTGTAATTGTTTTTGGAACATGTACTTGAAATGTTGAGGGAAAAGTAAAATTATCAAAAACAATGCATCAAGGAGAATCCCTAAAACATTGACAGAAGAAGCCCTAGAAGAAGTGGAAAGATTCACCAAACTTAGTATCGTTGACAAGCAGGGCGAGACAGAGGCAGCCATAAAAACAAGGACGAGCTATGCAATATTTTTTGAGTAATCACTAACACGTGTGTTTGTGAGTTCCAAAAACTTAGGAACGCAATGCCTTTTGCGATATTTGATCACATGCTTCGGACACATATTCCTTGTATCTGACTAAATATAGCTTTGGTTGATACTTACTATATTTAAATAAATACACTAAAGCGTTTTTTATTAAATTTTTTTCAGTACTTTAAATTTTAAAAAATTACAATAGAGTTGCATGAATGAAAACCCATTTCACACCCAATGAACCTGATGACGCGTGTATAAATGTGCGAAATAGTTGGGTAAGACTAGCTACTAATTTGGTCAAAATTTTAATTAATTCATAAAAAAATTATTAGGCAACCAATTAAGTCAAATTTAATGTCATGTTGCATTGTGTTCATGTCTTGACCTACGTACCAACTACGAACCGTATTTGTCGGTTAGCAGTGCCAGTAACTTCGCTCGGCTGTTTCGATCTAGACTGTTGACAGAAAGTCAAAGTAAGTGAGTTAAATCTATTATTATTTTAGCTGGATACATAATTTTGACAGTAAATTTTAAAATGTTTCGTCATGGTGTAACGTCTAAATGTCGTAGGCCAATGCAGACCGCACCTTTGTCCCCGTTGTGTGACCCTACTGTGTTTTGTTACTTGAAAAACACAGAGAAATTAACTGTAAGCCTGTAACAATTTCACAAAACTGCGGGGTTGAAAACCTATACAATAACATAGTATAAATATCTGACAAAGGGGCCCACTGATAAATTTTGCATAGGGACCCGAAAATCCTTGCTACGCCACTGGGTCTTGTAGTTTAAAATAGCGTTATGTTATTTAAATAAATAAACTGTAAACAAATAACTAGCGATTAAAGAGTTCCCGTACATCTAATCAATGTTTGTCTTACGAACGTGGAACAACCGGTTATAACATACGTTTCATGAAAATAAATAGATATGTAGACTTAATGTCACGAAATTATTTTCAATTTCTCTGGATTTGCAACATTTATAACATTAATTCTAAAAATATTAAAGTTCTAAATCATTTTTAGGCTTAAGTTTATATTTTTGTATTATTTTTACTACCGTTACGTAGTCAAAAAATAAAAATAAAAAATAATTGTATCCATGTCAGCAATATGATGGAAGAATTTTCGTTAACTCTGTGGTGCCTGTACACAAAATCAAAGAAATCTCCTGGAATGATTGCTTTAATCGGGAGCCTGGCTTCTTTTTAAACATGTGGGCAAAAGAATTGCGGTTGGTATGTTTGTTTAATTTTGCACACTGAAATTAATCGGATTTGTATTTATTTCTGACGCACCAACAAAGCACTACTTTTTTTTTGCGGAAGTAAGAATAAACTTTGCATTGTCAACATCTGAACTTTGTAAACACGATGGACAAACAAGAGGTTTGTGTCCAGATCGTCCAGAGTCTGGAGAATGTGTGGAGTGAGAAAACTTTATTTGACTTCGCTGTGAAAGTTCAAGATGAAACCATCCAATGTCATCGTCTCATCCTAGCGGCGTGTTCGGAATTTTTCAAGGCGCTGTTCAGATCTGGTATGAAAGAAGTCACAGAAAACTGTGTTGTGCTAAAAGATGTTTCATGTGAAGTTTTCCGCTTAATCATCAATACTATGTACACAGGAACAAGTCTGTTAACCTTAGACAATTTTATTGAAGTGTGGCAAGCGGCACATATGCTACAGGTTAAAGTTATGGTTAATGTTTGTGAGGAGTTTGCTATCAGATCATGTTCATTGGACACCTGGGAAAACATTTATCTACATGCAAAGGTTTTGGGTTCAGTAAAAGTACTAGATAAGCTACATACATTCATGTTGAAAAACTTTGAAAAAATTAGTCATTCAACAACATTTCTACAACTTTCTTTCAAGGAAACTCAGGATTTGATTAAAAGCCAAGATCTCGTTGTCAGCAAAGAAGATTTAGTTCTTGAATCTGTGATACAATGGGTTGAATATGGTGACGGAAATCAGCTAAATCAGAATTCAAATGAGGACCATACAATCAGCGGTAACAACGTAAAGACTAATATCAGCTTATCCAGTGATGAAGCAAAGGAAATTAAAGAAAGTGAGGATGAACTTCATCGTGATAATTGCTTACAAAATTCTAATAAGACAATAGATAGAGCAATGCATGAAGTACACACTGCTCATTCAATTGGTCCTGTAAAGTCTTCTAGAAAAGATAAATTTAGAGAACTGTTATTGGAAGTCAGAACCTGCCTTGTTAGTCATGCTGCCTTCTATCGAGTTCTTAAGTTGAGACTGTTTTCTGAAATTGAACATTCGAGAGAATTGATTCTGGACGCCATGTCATATCATGTCCAAGAGTTTAGACACGGTCAGTGGTCGTCAGCGGCTATACACAGATCTTGTAGTGAGTACACAAATGCTGGAATTTATGCTTATGGTAGTAATGGGATTTTTGAAATAATAACCGCTGACAAAGAGCAACAGTTTAATATTACACAATGTAAATATTTGAAAGAGAACATTCAACTCGTATTTTTTGATGGTGAACTTTATGCTACAGGTAAAGAAGTGGGAAACTCTCCATATCAAATGTTTCTCTTCTGCGGAAAAAGCTGGAAGGAAGTAATGGAATTGCCGAGTCCCAATTTGTTATTGGTTGCACACGGAGACTTTATCTACTTCATAAACAAAGACGATAAAGTTTTATATAGCATGAATCCTAAAAAGAGGGAACCAAATTTAGAAAAAATTACAGATTTTCCTTCAAATGATGTTGAAGTAAAACATGTAATGGTTCTGGAAAACTTCCTTCTATTATTTTGCTCTGAATCTGTGAATGGCGTGGAGCAGATAGCCATTCATAAATTTGAGATCTTGTCCAAATTTTGGACCAGATTAGACAATCTCGATGGACCAGCTGAACAGCTGATTAGTTTTAAAAATGACAAACTCAACTACATGTTACAGACAAATGGCAGTTTGTGGCAGGTAGATTACTCCTCTGGCACCGGTAGTATTGGATTTAAATTTCTTGCCAAACTTTGGAATTTTAGGAAAAAGCTGCATGGTGCGTTAACCTTTCAAAATAAACTAATAATTTTGGGAAACAATCCCAATAATGACCCACGAAATGAAAAAAGACTCACTGAGTTGCCTGAGTACTTTAAGAGAATATCCCACTGGGGACATGACTCTTGCAGTTCACGTTTTGTTCCCATCACTATAACAAAGAACGATTTAGTTCCCATAACGAAGATCTAGTGCTACGACCCACAGTTCAACATGTTTGTATAGGTTTCAATGTCTACATACTTCTGGATCATCTTTGTATACATCACTTTAAGAGTTTATTCTATCACTTTTATTCCATCGGCACACACACGCAAAGACAAAGCTATATTATGAATTTTATTTTGAATATCCTATACGCATTTACAGTGTCCGCCTGAAAATAAGTGAATAAATAAAGCAAAGCTTATTAATGGTTTTACTGTTTGTAAATCACTTAAACTGTTTTTGTGTGTTTAAATTAGTTGTCTATGTAAAATAGAAGGTAAGGTAGACTATACACGGTGGATTAGAGAAGTACGGTAATGATTTAGAACTCGTTAAGTTACATAAAGAAAAATTGCGTCATTACAAAACAGCTATGCAGAAAGTTATTTAATAACTATTTTTATTACAGAAATATAATGTCCACAGACACCAAGACTAACACAATTTACGCATTTTGTAAATGTCACTAAAAAAATCTGGTTAATTTGCCTACATGCCATTGGTGCTAACTCTAAATACACTTATATACCACTGACACAATTTACGAATTACGTAAACGTTTTGATAAAATTCAGTCACATTTTGAGTAACGTATTTTTCTTTCTGAAATGGCCGATTTAGTTTATTTAGTTTATTTATTTTCAATAACATTTGGTTTGAATAATCGAACTAGAAATCAAAGTTACCGGATTAAAAAAAGGAATATTTTAAAATGTTTTGTCTAGTGAGTGTAGATTTTGTGTGAAAGTGTTAGAAAATTTCATAAAACGTCACGGATAATAGAGGATGGTTGGAGATAAATTTGATATTAGTCTAGAAGGTTGG